TAATTGTTTTCATTTTCGAAGGCTAAAAGTTTCTGAATTGTTTGGTGATTGGTGTTGAATGTCGAATTCACACCTGTTTTTTTTTTTACCTCCATGCATGCAGCTTGATCTGTGTAATAATTTATAAAATATTAGAATCCAGGCTTGGTCAATGTGTTTCCACTAAATAAAGTTTTAATATGATGTTATAATTATGACAATCTCGCCATGGATCACGCTAACTCGAATCCACTCTGAATTCATCTGTAAGTGTGTCGATCTCGATTATTTTTGTTATCCAATTAAACGCCGCTTTTAACGCACTTGCCCTCGTCGTAACCCGGCGCGTTCACCTATTTCAACAAAATTTCAATTTATTTCCACGAGGCTGTCATTTATTTAGTAACTGTGCTTTGTCATTTTTTTAATTATTTTATAGTGATCACTATAGTCTAATGTTTAGAATGTCAAAATATGTCCTCTTTTATTTTAATTTTGAAAGTTTTACTCAGACGATCGATGAAATAAAACAGTGTAGTGATGTGATGTGCCTAGTAACCTATTTTGTCCAGCGACAGTGTACAAACGTGCGCCGGTGACGATCACGGTGACCAGCTACACCGGAACGGACATATTTCGCATCTAACTCAACCCCATGAAAAAAAAATTGATACTATGTGTTCATTATGGTCCATTCCTCCTCGACGAACAAGTACATTAATGAAAATTTAGTCAAAGACGAGAAAACTGCACAAGAAATTTGCCTTATTTACACGTATCGGCAATGCAAGCTGCCATGCGACTTCCCCTTCTGACATCACAAGGGGAATTTCAGTATGCAAATAAGCAGCAAAAGAGGAGCCTCGTTTTAAAATACACAAAAATAAAGTTGCCGTAGATTGAGTTTAAAACACATTTTTTCACTTAAAAAAATAATTCATGCTTAGAAACATAAAAATTAATAATATTTATGTAACAATGGATAATTTTAGGCATAAAAATAGCAGCCATTTCACAGGCACTTTAAATAAATTTCTATTTGACATATTCTGGATTTCAAACACAATGTTATTGTTTTATTCCAAACACACTTCAGAAGCAAATCATAGGTGACAAAGCAAACACCATAATCAGATTAATCTGATATACAAGTTCCTCATCATTTACAAAGCAAATATGGTGAACAATGACATTAACAAAAAATGAAAGGAAGCTGTTCATCCTGATGTTTGTAGGTTCATGATGATTTCAAGGTGAGAGAAAGATTTAGTGGCGTGTAAATTTTAGAACTTGTGTTTTAGTGTGTAGCGGTGAAAATCGGTGTGTGTGTGTGTGTGTGTGTGTGTGTGTGTGTGTGTGATAGCAACTGACAGTGGATAATGGTACCACAGTGGATAATGGTACCACAGGTACTTAGACCGATGAACGATAGGTTACCGGGTTTTTAAAAATTCTCCGGTTATTATCAGTATGTTGATAAAAATGTTCTCAGATTTTATCTAAATGAAATTACAATATTAAAACGCATCCATACGGATCTCACTTTATTAATATTTACGGTAAGAATGAATGTACTGTACTTACTGTCGTCTTCATCTCGACTAGTAGACTGGCTCACATACACTAATATAACAGTGATGAATATCGCTGCACCAACGAGAGTCCACACCAAAATATCCACATCCGACATAGCAAACGTTGTATGTTGTTGTGTGCCGAGGGGTATGAAAAAAAACTGTCTTACGAAATGCCGACTCAAATACGAATCAGCTTCATGTTAATAACAGATTCGATTTCGAATTCTTGCATTTAGAAGATCAAACAGTTTATAAATCTTGTTCAGACTCAATCTTTTGTGTCACTACTTATCTTATCATGTCAAAATCAACCTTCCCACATATCTGTTTCATAATAGACTACCTGGAAAAGAATTGAAACACAATAAAAATAATGCATTGTGAATCCTAGTTGTGAATGTGAAATTAATTATTTTTACGAGTGTGTGTGTTTGCGTGGTCTTCCTCTACAGCTGTTCTGAAATATGTCCGTCGACCAACGAAGAATTTCGTTAAAGGATAATGAAAGCTAGCATTCAAGTTAAATTTTGTGAATTAATTGTGCCGTGATCGGTTCAACTAATCTGCCAACTCTAGGTGTATGACTCAGTCATCCTCCTTGATGAGCAGTTAAATAACCCCGGCAACTAACGCGCGTAATGGCGGCCCGGAATGACGGATGGTCGCCGATCGCGAGGACGAAGAAAGCAGTCACAACAAAAGGGTCAGTTGTTTTAATCAAGTATTTGTCTCCACAATTCATGGAAATTGTCTTTCTGATGATATGTTGAATTGATACGAAGCAGCATTTGGTGTAGCTATTTCTTGCAGCAAGATGTACAGATATATACAAAATGTAGTCAAGAGCTTATTGTAATCGACGAAACGAAACGAAACGGGATAACATACATAATGAAAATTAAACTGTAATCATGGGTTTATACGCACAATGTTTACAAAATATTTATATTCACCTTTCAGTCGTGTATAAACATAAAACATTTGCCGAAAACAACGGGATTATTTTAATTAGTAAATGGTTCGTTTTGCTAATTATAGATAACCAGTAATCTGTAATCAGCGAAACAAGGGTCTTTACACGTACAATATTTACAACTGTCGGTCGAAACTTGACCAGTATATTCACCTTTCAGTGTGATAGTTCTTCGGTTAATATCCATGCATACGAATTACCTGAATTGCATAATAATTCATAATTTTTTTGTTCTAATCACATTTCAATGAAACTTGATACGTAGATGGTCTGTGACATTGTGCAGACTTTATTAATTTTACAAATCCGTGCATATAAATTATCTGATTTGCATAATTAGGCAGTTTTCAGCTTTTTCCATAAATACCTCAAGTACAAGTAATTTTGAATTAATAATAAATGTGTCTCCAATACTCTCAGCACTCAGGAGTTCTTTCTAAACTTTCTTTGATTTTCCTTTGTGCAAACGTGTTATATACACCATTGTTTGTCCTGAAAAGACAGTAATGTCACTATATTAACAGCTTTGCTTAATACATTAATACTTATTAACTTAATGGGCAGGAATTCATATTAGTTATCATATTTCATGACAGACTGGTGGAGTCCCAGGGACTGTGAAGCTATGGTTTAAAAATAAATAAATAATGATTTGTTTTCTGTTTATATTTTTTCAGAGACCAATGTATCTCCAATTTTTTTAGGAATAATTCTCATGATGAAGAAAACCATTGTGATGAAACAGAAAGTTGGCAAAGTACCCCTCCTAAGCTACCCTATGTACATATGGAAGATAGATCTCCCAAAGGAAAATCTCCAAGGACTAAAGCGCCAGGTTATACCATGCCAAAATCACCAGGATTGGTCAGAAATATTGCTGAAGCTATAAAGGCTAGTCCCCCCAAAAAAGCCTCTCACAATACTGATAGTCCACTTGGTAGAAGGAAAAGTAGCGAGAGTCTGAAATATAAGTCTGTATGTGGAAATGATATGAAACATCTTGATGTTATTGATGGGAAGCAAACGGGAGTGGAACAAAGTGCATCATTCTCAGTGATTGACAATGCATTTTCACCTCATCTGGTTGTCTCATCGGATGTAAAGGTGAAAAAGCCAATTCCTGTTCTGATGACCAGAAAAACTTTACTTGAAAGTGATAACCTCAAAAGAGACAAGATTTTGTTGTCTCCATCAGCTTCGATCAGATTGGAAGAGACTGAACTTTATAGTAAAAATCCAGCTGAAACGCAGTCTGTGGCTGTAAATCTGAAAACCAAAGACATTCAACAACATAAAATGCCAAATGATTCTTTGATTTCTAACCAAACCACCAGCAATTCTTCAACAAGTTTAACTCCTGTTGATTTAAAGCACAAAGCTATGTCTGGAAGGAGAACTTCACTGCAATATTCGGAAGACAGAACAAAGGAGTTCCAAGGAAGCACCAGTGCTTTTCAACCTGCGTGTGTACCAAGTTCACACTCAAAACATCAGAAACATACAGACACTGCCAAAAAAACGAGGCCCTTTTACAAGAAGCAGCCAAGCTACAGCGATATTTTGGAGTTAGCGGCGCAAAATGTAGATTGCTTGCAAACTGAATCACTTATTTGCTTAATCTCTGATAATGAGGAAGTCGATGAAGGAGGCAGTGTTAAGGAGAAATTTGGCTCGTATATTATCGAGCAACCCAATTTGATGTTGCAGAAATCGGTCACAACGATCTCTGGTAAAAGCAGCCCATTACCAGTAGTTGCACTCAATAAAGTTTCTAACAAGTCTCCTGTGAGAGTGACTCCAGAATTTCTGCAACAATGTGAGAGGTCTCTTAAGAAGGCGAAGAAGATGCCTGCCAAAGATAAACAAAAAAGGCTGGCTTATAATGAAAAAGGTAAGAATTATAAAAAATTTGATTTGATTTTTTTTTCTTTCTTGAAAACGGACGTTACATTGTATCTGAACTATTTTTGGTACATGGTTTGTTTTACCCATTGAGCATCATCATTTTACTTACATTTCCACAAGAAACACAGGATGATCTCCAGAAATTTAATTTCGTGATGACTTCAAAAGATGATGTAATAATAAAAAAGATTGGCAACTATATTCATAACTCATTTCAATCAAGGAATGAAAATGCCATTTGTTATGTGACACTTGCTTTATCCCATTAACAATTACATGTAACTTTCTTTTTGTAGTAGTAGTTATCACAACTAATCTTTATTGCTATTAACTGATAGAAATATTGTATTTCTAAGGATGCAATAAAGTTATTATTATTACACATTTTGTTACAGCATTTTGCCTATTTCCAACTCCATCTTGCCCGTAATAACAATGAAATAGTATAGGTATAGTTGTTATATTGTCTGTTTGTTGTCATCTTCATCTTCATTGTTAACACTTCTTTGACCAACTTAACTAATAATAAGTAATTTTTATTCATCTTCATAAAGTTTGGAATATTATTAACTAATGTACATGAATAATCTCAGTACAGTTCATGTTTGGGATAACTGGCTCATATATTTATGGTGATATTGTATAAACCCTCTAAATATATTTTTTCCCAAAATTGCTGGAGTAATTTTACACTATGAGATCAATACTGTACATTTAATATCAGCTGAGAGGCAAGAAAATTCATTAATTTTATAAATAATTGCTTTTGAAAAATGCTGACAGATTTACACTTACATGTATACTTGTATTCATTGACAAGTCTGGCTCAATCATGTTCAAATTTCACACATACATCACACATCTTGCCACATGTATGTACATTCATTTGATGATCCAATTCAATATGATTCAATGGTGACCATTTTTAATTAATTTGGATGTTAATTAATCCGTCTATACATGCGCCCTGAGCCATTTCTCAAACATGCCTTGACTGATCACATTCAAACTTAACACACAGAACCACGTCTGATGACTACATACATGTATTCACATCAATTTTCATTACCATTTTGGTCATCAAAATTGCTAAATTCTGATACTTAAACATGTCCGAGACCATTCAGAGATAAACTGAGCAATTGTGTCATGATCATGCATATAGGTTTATATTGTTTTTTGAGATTTAAACAAAGAACAGTTTGATTTCAATCCAGCTTTATAAAATTGTTTTTTGAGATTTAAACAAAGAACAGTTTGATTTCAATCCAGCTTTATAGCATGCATTTTGGGTTGCAGCTGCATGTCATATTTGGATAGAATGAAATTTGACATTAAGGTAGCGAGACTATTATTTGTGTTGAAAATTACGATTTTCACATTTATTTATTAATTGATGAAATGCACCATAAACTTTCATATGATAAAGTCAATATAACATAGAATGTCATGTAAGTTGGTTAAAATGTAGATTTTCTGAAGGGAAGCAAGGCAGCCTCAGTAGTGTTTTCCAAAATCAACAACACAGGTTTAATCTGTGTGCCTATAAGTTTCAAAGATATACTCAAGACAAAGCAATGTTAGGATGTGTTATCAGTAGCTATCTGACACACAATTACTACGTTCACGTTACGGGATCTCGGCACGTGCCGAAATTTTTAATCAGTTGTGTTTGCAGAGGGATTACAGCAGTTGTGTTCACGTTATTCAGACCCACTTAGACCGACTGGGCTCGTGCCGAAATCACGCTCTCATTCGTCGATCTGTTGGCCCAAACGATACGCATATGACGATAATAATAATTGTTATAGTGAAATTATATCCATTTGTTGCAATGGTGTTTATTACGAGCCATCGTGCACATGAACGGCAAAGAAGATTCGAAACATAATTATTTTTCACATCATGTAAA